TGATGGATAATGGACAAAGTAAGGACAATTTTCAATTATATTTGCTCTGCTCCTTAATGAACTTTCTTTTCCATCCTAACAAATTAGGAAAAACAATAAATTCACTCACTACAATTTAATTTCTTTATGTCTTTGTAGATAATATTCAACTTATTCTCGGTGAGGACTCACACTTTTCTCTATCTAGACTTTTAATCCTCCATTTATCTCTCGTTCTAAATTTTTGCACTTTAATCAGGGACCAGTCTGTCGCTACTTGTGTCTTTCATGGGTAAGCTCCTATATATCCTTTTAGCAAGCTGTATGATTATTTGGCTGGACATAGATTAACATTCCATTTTGTTTTTCATCCAATTTCTCAATACACGGATACTTTAGGAGTTATAATCATATGATTTAGCAAGATTGGGATTTTGATATGGTAGTGAACCAACATGAGGATATAATGTTGCTTGCCTATTATTTGAGCAAATTTATACCACTAGACAGTGGTCTAGTAGCTTTTATTAATAATAAACATAAAAAAAATTCAATAAGATTAAGTACAAGCAAGAGAGACTTGGTCTTACCCTATCCATCCTAATGAGGTACCTATCCTCTACTAATTAACAACCATGAAGAAACTATGAGCTAGAGAGAACTAGATATTCTATGATCATCATAAAGTTTATAATACACTCTATGATGATATTACAAGTGAGGATTCTTAAGTAATAAAAACGTTAGGACCGAAATAAGCAGGTGTAATGTGGAAGCTAGCAAAGCAAACCTCAAAAGACCACGAGTAAGAAGACAAACGAGAAATATACCAAAAGACACAAAGATTTAACGTGGTTCGGTCAATCGACCTACGTCTACAAAGGAGATGAGCAATCCACTATATAAACATAAGAGAAATAACCTCAACCAATTCACTCGGAAAACATGGGAGGTTCAAACAAGTGATAATGTATCAAGCTTGTGTCCCTTAAATTCTCCACGCAACCAAAACTCGCAAAGCCTTTAAGACAACATTGTGAATGTTGATTAAATTAGAAGGAACAAGCATCTATTTATAGAGCGCTTAACTTTTTCCTACAAGAAAAGGACTAGTCACTCCAAAATCTTTTCCTAAAAGGAAAACCTATTTATGGTAAGAAATCAGGGCAAATAAAACCCAACAACAAAAGCATAAAAGCCAAGGAGAAAGTTGAGTTATCAACCTCAAACTTTCTTTTACAAATGTATGAACTAAAAAAGATAGATTGGCCTTGTAAAGGAACTTGAAGTATGTTTCTCGTGTCTTTTTCTTCAAATCTGTCCAATAACACTTGGTAGTTCATCACTTAATTCTTGGCTTTATTGGATCTTGTTAAAGTTGTTGACACTATAATATGATTCCGTTTCGCTAGTCGTATCGGTAGGTGACTTGGAACAAACTTTTGCTTGCCTATTATTAACAGAGGCATATCCAGGATTTTGAAATGATGGGTGTACTATTATGAAAATGTGAAATCTAATATGTTTGACATTTAGGTTCTTATCATTGAAAACAATTAAAATTTTAAAATTATCAGTCCAAAATTGAAATGCTTAATTAGTTAAAGCGCCAAAAGTGATATCAAAAACCACTTTTAGAGGTGTTACCCAATTTTTGAAAGAAAAATAAAACAAGATAGGTATAAAAGTCAAATTTCTAATCTCACTGAGAGGTACACCCAATCATCATCGCATTATATGATACTTCATGTGTGGTTTACACATCTATATTTAATAAAAAAAAATTAAAAAATATAACACTACTATATATGATTTTGGAAGGGGAGCATGGGTTCACGTGAACCCGGTGACTCCCTCCTCCATACGCCTCTGATATTATATGTTGCTTCTTGAAAAGGTGATTTGGTGTATGAATTTAATTTTTGTTATTTTCTTGTGGCATCTTTTAATGAAATTAAAATTTTATACTTTTGAATAAATCGAAAGATAATGTATCACATCCAAAAAGATAAGGAAGTTGTTGGACGGTATACATGGGAATTAATATGGTTGCCTCGAATGTGGTACATCATTATTTGTATAGTTATACCTTCTTCTTTTTTATATAAAAAGCAAGTTAGTCCTAATTCTATGCCAGCAACTCCCATAATATATCCCATAATGTTGTTAATTATGTTGTTCTTAAATTTAGAGCAGAAATTCATTATATTATATACCATTAGATGTTATTATAACCTTGATTAGTTTTAAAATAAGTTCAACATTTCCTATTTTGTAAAATAATAACTAAAAATTAAATTAAAAAATAAGATGATATTGCAGTGTTTGCATAGGGAAAATATATACTTAAAAGAATATAGAAAATTAGGCATGTACAGATTTTATAAAATAATAGAGATAAATGTGCAACGTTGCACGTTTTCAAAGACTAGTAATTTAACACAAGTGAGCACAAACAAAATTCTAAAATAGAACATATTCGAATTCAATTTCTATTATATGTTTTTCTCTTTAGGATTGTTATTCCTTTTTCATATTTAGAAAAATAAATTTTAATGTTGTTCATATTTGACTTTTAAGTACTCGTTCATATTAAATTAAATTATCTCATTTGTCAGAATATGTCTTCTTCAGAGAAATTCTCGATTTCTTTTGCTCAATGTTGTTGAGGGAGAAGCATTATTTATCCTTTTTACCTCGAAAGCTAGGAGACTAAAGCAAAATATAATTTCAATAAGTCATTGTCAAACTAAAGTTATCAAGGAGGCTCTACTTTGTAAAATACACATGCATTAAGTTATTAAAATCTAATTAAAAATATAATAATCAAATGTTAATCAAATTTCTTAAAAATACTCATGCAAAAAATTGTGAAATTGTTGGAGAGACATGCCGCATACCTCATTTGTATTGACGTGATTTCTACTAAAAGTTCTATTCAATGGTCTGCAAAAGCATCACCTCTGGTTTATACCTAAGATTAAAAAGTTACATCATAAGTTCATAAAACAAAATTTTAGCAGTATATTTTCATGTGAGAGATCAAACACTTAAACATCAATTTAAGAATATAATTTGAATGATAGCAAAAAATGAAAAAACCTAAATGTAAAGAAATGCTTGAAAGAACATATGATAAGAGCTTTATGCTCTCTAAACCAAATTCAAATGTATAGTATTGTCATTAGAAGACAACGTGTAAGAGACTTATAGGTATAGTGATTTCTTGAAGAGTTAAAAAGTCATTCAACTTTAATGGTTTCACACTTATCGAATAATAATAATAATTAATAACAATAATAATAATAATAATTAATAACAATAATAATAATAATAATAATATGATAATGATAATTAAAAAGTTGAAGGGCATTTTCGTAATCCAACTTTAGACTAAGCACCTCAACGGTCTGCAAAAGCATCACCTCTGATTTATACGTGAGATTAAAAAATTACATCACAAGTTCATAAAACAAATTTTTAGCAGTATATTTTTATGTAAGAGATCAAACACTTAAACATCAATTTAAGAATATAATTTGAATGATAGCAAAAAATGAAAAAACCTAAATGTAAAGAAATGCTTGAAAGAACATATGATAAGAGCTTTATGCTCTCTAAACCAAATTCAAATGTACAGTATTGTCATTAGAAGACAACGTGTAAGAGACTTATAGGTATGGTGATTTCTTGAAGAGTTAAAAAGTCATTCAACTTTAATGGCGACTTCTTGAAGAGTTAAATAGTCATTCAACTTTAATGGCGACTTCTTGAAGAGTTAAATAGTCATTCAACTTTAATGGCTTCACACTTATAGAATAATAATAGTAATAATAATAATAATAATAATACCCTCTTTGTCCCTAATTACTTGTCTACTTTTCCTTTTATAGTTGTCCCTAATTACTTGTCCATTTTGATAAATCAAGAAAGGACAAAAAAATTTTACCTATTATACCCTCAATTAAATGACTAATTACTTTATAAAATGCAGAACTTTTCATCCACTTCATAATTAATAGGGGTAAAATGGTAAACTCACTATGTCATTAATTGATTTCTTAATAGGTGTGTCAATTCAAAAGTGGACAAGTAATTAGGGACAGAGAGAGTAAAAATATGATAATGATAATTAAAAAGTTGAAGGACATTTTCGTAATCCAACTTTAGACTAAGCACCTTCCCATTTATAATATAAAATATGATATGATGATATGTTCATAATTTCTGAGAAGAGCAGAAGGGTCCAAATAAGAAAAGGACATCTCTTAGATATATTGGCTCAAGAGGAAGTTAACTTTATGACTTCTCAAACTTGCAGCGTATTTGGGAACTGTTAGTATTTTGAGCATTTTAATATTTATTAATTATTAATTTGTCTCTTAGTACCCCTAGAATTAAGTGTATTTTCTACTGCCCGTTGAGGACTTTTCATTTATGGCTGTTGGAGTGGCTAACTGCTGCATTACAACTGCACTACTCCATTAGGAGTTTTTTTTTTGCCACATGCACTTCAGTTTTGCAACAGATGCAAAATGCCGTTGATAGCATTAGTGCCTACTTGATTGTCACTCATAATTCCTCCATTATACTTGTAACTCCTAAGACCATTTATCTTTACTATTTACCATCCCATTATCTTTCTATTCATTGCTAGGAAGACTTCTTCTAGAATAAATAGTGGTCTACATTTGGTTTAGAAACACAAGAAAAACATAGAAAGGAAAAAGTTGGTAAAAAAAAAAAGAGGTTTCTTATTAGTTGAAGGGAGTGTTCTTTTTGCGGAGCTTTGAACTCAACTCTTGTCCAGAGTTGTTGAGTTATACTTTGTGTTAAGGTTGTTGTATCCTGGAGGGGACAAGTCAAGAAGGATTACTGCTGGACCGGTGAAAAACATTTGCTGCAATGGACTTGAATCTCCTTAAAGAGAGAGATATCCGGGCCTCAGGCTCAAGAGATTTTTATTTCTTCATTTTATATTCAATTGTAATCTTGTAATTTTTCACTAACAGGAACAAAATTTGTGATCGGCCTTCCGTTTGTAATTGTATTTCTGGTGATCAAATTCAAAAGGAGGCATTTGTCCATGTATGATGCGATTGAAGGCTTTTTGCAAACACAAAACAATTTCATGCCAATCAGATATAACTACTCCCACATAAAAAGAATGACCAGAGCATTCAAAGAGAAATTAGGTGAGGGAGGTTACAGCAGTGTATACAAAGGAAAGCTTCAAAGTGGAAGAGATGTAGCAGTGAAGATGTTGAACAAGCCTAAAGCTGGTTGTCAAGACTTCATGAATGAAGTGGCTACCATTGGAAGGATCCATCATGTCAATGTGGTCGGGCTCGTGGGGTATTGTGTTGAAGGAACAATACGTGCTCTTGTATACGACTTCATGCCCAACGGATCACTCGATAAGTACATCAGCACCAGTCAAGAAGGAAGTCCTCTGTTAAGTTGGCAGAGGAAGTATGACATTATTCTTGGAGTGGCTCGAGGAATTGGATATTTGCATCGAGGCTGTGATGTACAAATTTTGCATTTTGACATCAAGCCACACAACATTCTTTTGGATGAGAATTTCATTCCAAAGATTTCTGACTTTGGGCTTGCAAAATTATATACAACAAATAATAGCATTGTGAACCTCACAGCAGCTCGTGGAACGATTGGATATGTAGCTCCAGAGTTGATCAGCAGAAGCATTGGGGCAATCTCTTACAAAGCTGATGTTTACAGCTTTGGAATGCTGCTAATGGAAATGCTGGACTTGAATAGACATGAAGTTGCAAATGAAGAGAATTCCAGCCAATATTTTCCTTATTATATTTACGATAAGTTCAACAAGGGGAAGGAGATTGTTGTGGATGAAGAAGCAAATGATGATGAAAAGAAGATGGCTAGAAAGCTGACTTTAGTTGCGCTATGGTGCATACAAACAAATCCGTTACAACGCCCTTCGATGAGTAGAGTATTAGAAATGCTTGAAGGTGAAGTTGAAGTGCTAGAAGTACCTCCTCAGCCTCTTCAATCTCAACCGTTTGTTCATCAGATGATGGGAAGTTCCATGACATTTTCGTCTGATTCAATCGCTTTGTTAGAAAATTCCGCGGATAATCCCGTTGAATTAGACATATGTTTTGATTGACTCATAGTTGATGTAATGTTTTTGTGAAATAACAAATATTAATGTTTGGGAATGAGGTGTTGTTATTGTGGTACGTACTAGTTCTGCAAGGCAAAGTTGCCAACCACATAATAGTAGTGAATGACCATCCACTGTGTTACTTCTTCACCACGCACCACAAAATCTTCGACTGATAATGAGCCAAAGATTGCGTTGATCACCAACATTGCTACATAGAGGCAAACCAGGTTGCAATGGAGGTACATATATTACTTCATTTGACACAACTCCAAGACCCGATAGATGATTGATGAGTACAAATCAATAGGAGCTCCTTCATTCAGGGTCAAGAAGAAGAGATCTAGTAGCTATCATTTATGGCCACTTTGAACAGTTCGCTTTGCTTCTAGTGGCTCTTATCAAATTTCTTTAGGCCATTTTAAAAGCATAACCAAGAGGTGAATCCTAGAAACAATGAGAAAGTATTTGGCACAGATGATGGGCAAGCAAAGGAGATGACAGATTCGGTATATATGGATGTGAAACAAAGATGAAGCGAGAAGAGGAGCGCTCAGACAACCTTCTCTCACATTTACCAACACTAGCTACAAGTTAAATACTTTGGAAAAACTGAATATAAGCTTGAATAACACCATCATGTACTTTCAGCTGCCGGGTGCAAATCCTATGATTTTCCACGGAAGCTGAAGGGGTTTTTTTTTGTTTCACTTGCTGATTCACATCAACATAAATGAGTCATAGCATTAAGAATGAAAAACAAATCAAGGAACATGTGAAGAAACAAGAAAGAAAAAATTAGTTTCAAGAATGACCCAATACAATAGCTTAACAGAATTCATCCTGAAGAAATTGATGACTTCCCCATCTTCATACAAGGAGAAACGAAAAGGAGGATGTTATCTACAGTGTTTGCTAAGAAACTAGTAATACCAACAAAATGTCTTAGATGGTTGATCCAGTACATCTGCATATCTTTGGTATCTGGAAACACAAAATTGGTATGTTAGCATTCCATGAAGAAATCATACTACTGATATAATATGCATCAATCATAACAATTTTAGAGTTTGTAGAGAGCCTAGATGGACAGTCATCAAGTAAGCTTAAGGCAATTCATCAAACTCAAACCAACATGAAACCTTCTCTCTTAGGAACCAAGAGTTTGGCAGCTCGACGACAATACCATCTCTGCATAATGCAGCTTGCTCATCTGATGCACTTAAAACTCCTGTATTTTCTGAGATTGTTCCCCTTAAGACAGAGGGATATAAACTAAGCTTTGACCTTTTACTTCCTTTTTTTCTTTTTTGTTGTTAAGGATTTCAGGGATCAAGTATAACACCAAAATGCAGCTGTATTTGTTACCAAAACCCAATAAATCTGTTTCCACCATCAGATAACAGCTTAAAAATGCTTGAGCATCAGGTCAACACTTTGTCCCTTCAAGTCACCTCTCCTGGCTTTTAATTTGTCTCGCAAATACCAAGCAAGTCAAAACAGGTTTGCCAATCTCATAATGAATAATAGCATAGGTTATGTAATTATACTATTTATTGCAACAGTAGGCAGATAAACTTCAAGAACCATTGGCAAAAAAGAAACCTTCTATTCTATATAAGTAAGCTGATCTTAGTTCTGGAAACTCACATTGTAGGCAGCTAATCATCATGCATGTAAAATTGCAGTTGAGCCAATTCCAATGATCCTCTATAAAGCTCTTCAGTTCAGTTCACTAACCCTAAAACACTGAGAGTTCAAATGTATGAGGGTGAAACACAAACCATATGCATGTGATACAGAAGTACTAATGACTCTTAACAGAATCCACATGGAAAACAGCATGTTCTTGAGTTTGTTTTCTCCTAAGCAAGTGATCAAATCAGATTCATATCTAAATTGTAGCCACTAGTCTACTACCTTATGAATTATTTTAACAATATAGCCAAAAGTTAATATAGGAAAATCTTCCAAGAATGATTAACACGAAACACACCAACTCCACTACTTAGAGGTGGAAAGGGGCACGTTTTACCCTAGTAAACCAACCATGAAGAAAGATCTAGTGCTTTTTTTCAACTTTCGATTTATGGATGAGTGCTCTTGGAGTAGTTGGTCTAGCTCTGAACCTACGTGCCTATGATTTTGTTTCTCAGGAAATTCGCACAGAGGAAGATCCTGAATTTGAGACTTTCTACAACAAAATATTCTCTTTGTTCTAATTTGTGTCTCAAGTGCTTACCTCCAAAAAAAACCTTAAGTTGCTCAAGGCAGTCATTAGAGAATGGAACAAGCGAGTATATGGAAAGCTTAAACACAAGCAGAAAACATCCTCTCTGAATTAGAGGAGCTGGATCACTCAGTCTGTGAATGAAGATGAAGCTGAAAGAGGCAGACAAAAAGGAAGTCTTATGAGCTGGAAGAAATTGCAGTGACTGTGGAAATACCTTGAACACAAAAATCAAGATTTTAAGCATACAATTTTTTTCCACAAGATGACCAATGCCCACAGAAGTACAATAACATTGACAAGACTGAGGTTGAAAGAAAATTGTTTGGAGACAAGACACTGATCAAAGAACACAATCTGAGCTTTTATGAGATGCTCTTTACTGAAAGATAAAAATGTGGGGTCAAAGATTGCAAGTGGATTCAAAGGCCATTTACAGAGGAAGAAGTAGTGGACGCACACAAGCAATTTGATGGGGATAAAGCCCCAGGCACCTGATGGATTCAACATGTCCTTTAAAAAAGGTTGGCCCACTGACAGGACTGATATAAATGAAAACATTGGAACTTTTTTATCAGGAAGGCACATTTGAGAGGAGTTTCACTGCTACTTTCAGAGCTCTCTTAAGAGAAAGAGGAAATGGAGATTAATGACTTTAGACCTATAGCATCCTAGTACCATTAACAAACTCATTGCAAAGGTGCTTGCCGAAAGATTGAAGACATATGATAAGCAAACTCACTACAGGCAACCAAAATGCCTTCATTAAAAGTAGACAAATTTTAGATGTGTCGTTAATTGCAAATGAGTGTCTTGGCTACTACTTGAGAATGGGGAAGGCAGGATTAATATGCAAGTGTAATTTAGAAAACGCATTTGATTTTCTATTGGAAGTCATGACTTGTGCACTTTTGGGGATAGGTGGATACAGTGGGATCCTTACTTGCATCTCTACTCTCAGACTTCATCTTCACATTAATGGAAGCCCCGAAGGCTTCTTTAAGTTTAAAAGAGCCTAAGACAAGGAGACGCTCTTTCTCCTTATCTTTTTGTGATTGTCATGGAACCCCTAAGAATAATGCTTAAGAGACCTGAAGAATTGAGCTGGAATGCAGGGATTTGCATTTCTGGTAAAGATGGCAGAGAAATCTGCTAGACTCATGTTGTTTATCCTGACGACACGCTTCTTATATATGATGCTGACAGAAATTAACACTTGTACTTAAGAGCTATTCTGTTTGCATTCTGGTCTCGAAAAATGATAATATTGTGTGGATGTGTGGACATACTAGGAGAAATATAATTAGGAATGAAGTTACACAGGACAAGGTGAGAGTGGCCTCCATGGCAGACATGACAAGGGAAGCAAGGTTGGAATGGTTCGAGCATGCATGTAAAGAGAAGGCATGCGGATGCGCCAGTAAGGAGGTGTGAGCGAGGTTGGTTGTTGTAGGAGTTAGGAGAGGTAGAAGTTCGAAGAATAATCAAGGGGAGGTGATTAGACAGGATATGACTAAGCTCCAACTTGCTGAGGGCATGACCCTAGATAGGAAGATGTGGAGATCGAAGATTAGGGTAGAAGGTTAGCAAGTGTAGCCAAGTGTTGTCGTCCTTTCGGTAGGAGAGGCAAGGGCTAGCCCTATCTCCTCGTCGCAACCTTATTATTAGTAGTATTTAGTAATCATATAGTTTCTTATCTCTCAATGTGTTTTACTACCTGGTATTTTATTTGCTTGGTATGTTGATCTTTGATGTCATATTTTTCTTGTAACCCTACTTCAAGAATCTGCTCTTTTGAGTCAACGGTATATTAATCTTATCGGAAAAAGACTCTTTACCCCGCAAGGGTAGGAGTAAGGCTTTTGTACATCCTACCTTCCTAAGACCCCACTTGTGGGACTACACAGGGTATGTTGTTGTTATGTTGCCTCTGCCCTATATCAAAGATGCTACGCTGCATGAGGAAATTGATGCATACGAACACCGAACAGAGCCTTTTCGAGAAATGCTTGCTGTATTATAATTAAATAAAACCACCAAGAAGGTGCTGTCAAAAGAATGCACAACCTTCCCAAGAGAAAGAAAGAATTTTTCCATTCTTAAAGGGGTACTATAAGATCTATAACAGTTTCAACATCACTAACAAAGTTCTATTTGCACCAAATATATAACAAAAGTAAACAACCCAACTGCATGTGCTTTGCAGACTAACGAAAAGAAGGCATAGTCTTCAGCTCTGTAAAGAAACTTACCATATTATCTACGAGCAAACAACCCATGCAGGGGACCAGTAACACCACGTTTTTTTCCCTGTGATAGAGAAATAGAAGCACTGGCTTGAGAGATGTATTTCCTGTGATTTTAGCTGCAATAATACAAGTCATATTACTGACCTTTTCACTTTTAAACAGGTCCTCGGCAATTGCTTCCATCTGTTTTCTTTTTTTCTCTTCTTTAATAGATTCAGCAACATCCTCATTCTTACACTCAGATTCTCTGCCATCATGATCACAGATCAACATCAAAGGCTGATATGTAATACAGACTATAAACAAACCAGAGATAGACTTAGCTGCTTACTGGTATGGATGCTTGGAGAATGGAATGAAGATTGCAAAGTTATTCTGGGATGGAGCATTTGCCTATAAAATTAGGTCAAAAGAACAGCAAAAATTGGCATTTAGAGGATAGCATAATAATCAAATCCACTGACCAAAGAAGAAGAGGAACCAAACTGAAAGTGAAGATGCATCAATTTTAGAATTGCAATTCATGGACAGAACTTAATGTTCTCTACAGAAGCAATAAAGTTACAGAGAACTTCCGAAAGCAAAAAAAAAATTTAGTAAGGATCTTCACTAAGCAATATTATGACTACAAACTGATATGCTTCCTGGACTAGCAATCAAATCAAACCTAGGATTTTACTGAACCAACTGCAAATTAGACAAGGAAAACAGACACATGGATCGTCATCATAGCCTATATCAGACTTTTCAGCACCAATTTAGACAGAATAGGACAAGATCAAGCTGAAATTGCTAGCTGGATTCTGATGCTGATGGAAGTCTTATATTTCAGCAACGAAGGAAAGGCATGCTAAAGAAGAAAGTGAAGTGGGAATTTTTCATTCTCTGTTATGAATATACTTCATATAAGACATTGCAATAGATACAAACCTTACGGAAGCGCTTAAAATTTGTAACACCACCATTTGATGAAGAAGAGACTGGTAATGACATGATAGAATCTCTAACAATTAAATCTTGGCTATATATGATATCCAACTTCCCATTTTCCCGCTGATCCGTGATATCTTCTTTTACCACTGTATTATCACTTTCGACACCTAAGCGCCTGATGTAACCACCTTCAGGGTCATGGATGGTAGCATCATCATGTGGTATGTGACCTCCATCGTGTTTAATATGTTTTGTTGAACTGGGAGATGTGTCCCTCGTGGATACCTTATCCCTAGGCATCACTATTTGAACAGTACACTTATCTTCGTTGTGATATTCAACAGATTCTAACTTGTGTATAGAAGTTGTTCCCTTGCTGTCATGCTCTGAAGTTTCTATTGAACAGGAAGCAGCAGCGATGTGATCTGATTTTGTACTTTCTGTTTCGGCATCTGAGTCTGCAACCACCGTCTCATCTGTGGAGCATGAAGAGGTAACGAGCACTGCAGAGGACAATTATATAGTAAAGAACATAAGATAAAATTGGCAGAGAACATACATTCATAACAATGCACATCTTATCAGCATATGAGATAAAATTGGCAGAACACATAGATTCATAATAATGCACATCTTATCAGGCACCGGGTTGAACCAGAATGTCCTGATAAAGACTTCAATGAATTTCTCACTTCTTTTGTAACCTTTTTGCATCTTCTATTTTATTTGCACAAAAAAAATTCTGCCTGTTATGATATATCCTACCTACTTCATCAAAACAAATGAATTCTACTTGTGTACTTCTTGAAGTCAGAAAAGTAAAATAAGTTATCCAGTATCCACGCATTCAAGCATATCTACAAGCAATTTATTTGTGTAAGAAACTTTTTGGATCCATTTTGAGCAAATGGTACACAAAGCAGCTATGTTGCTCGGACTCTTCAATAATGTCAAGGGTGCGTGTCGGATTCGCCAAAAGTAGTGTATTTTTGGAAAATCCGACACGGGCGCGGCATTGAAAGTGAAGAGTCCGCGCAACTTAGCAAAGCAGGGATTTTGTAAATATTAAAAAACTTATTGTGAAAAGAAAAACTGTTGCATTTTTATCTAATATGTCAATCAAAGCTAGCTTACAAAGGTAGTTTACTTTTTCATTTGGAGAAAATAAGGCGACTGCTTCAAGAATCAATTGTCAAAAGACATAACTAACTGCAAGATCAATGACCAATTACCATGGTCATGAGTAGCCAGTTTCTATCTATCTAAAGGGAATCCGTAAGTCACACTAATAATGAATCATCCCCTAGTTAAAAATCGACTCAACCAGCATTAAACAAGATGGTGCAAGATTTTATGAGAAACTCTATTGCACGATTAGTTGACCTTATCAACCAGTCTGAAGCCAAACTCTTAAAACCTCTTGGCTAGTCTAACAAGCAATTTTGACTTGCTTTTGCACAACAGTAGGCACAGACGCACAGTGATAAAATGACCTGATCCTTGACCACCTCAAATAATCATCATGAAGTTTTTTACTTTTATTACCACAGACCAGATTTCAAAATAGCAATCCCCTGCAAGTTAGAGGTCCATATCTGAGCATGTAATTAGTAAATTCAATACATATCATGTTTTGCAATTTGAATCTGCTGGTAAAAGTTTCAAACCAAAATTTAAAGGGGGAAAGAGACTGGAAAGGAGGAAAGTGAATATGAGTGAGCAAAGACGTGAATGGAGAAAATAGAAATTTATGTACATAAAAAGTCAATTGTTATGTCGTGTGCAAGGAAAGACTTAAATTCTAAACTTATACTACACTCACCCGGTGGGGATGTGATAAGAATAGGATCCAGATATCCAGATAGAACCGCAGAAACCAGATCTATTTCACTCACCCAAGGCAAGGAACTTTGGTTAGAAAAAGACTTAAAGTTGCTTGATCCAGCTGGAACTACACATACCACACGGTCATTTCCATTTTTCTCCGAGACCTAAAGCAAATGAAATGAGTTAGTAAGTTTATACATTACTACATACACAATCTTCTGTGGCTCAATAGTATGTACCTTGTATGCAAAACCATGAGCACCCCATGAAACCCCACCACACAAGATAGAAAAGAAAGAGAAGTTGAAACTTGGCAGCAATCACAAAATAGTAAATGCAAAGGTGTGATTCAACTCAATCTAGACTCATGCAGTATATTTGGAGTTGTATGAATCCAAAATCTCATCCGTCTATGTCTAGCCATTCCCATAGTAGGCCATGCTCTTTCTCTCTCTGTTTGGATAAGGACCTCTTCTCTTTTATGCCTTCACTTCTAACTTGATTTGTCATTCCGTTAACCTTTTTCACTTATCCACTAAGAATATGGAATCAACTCAAGAAAATTACCACCACTTTGCTGACTGTTGAGTACACCTTTATATACTACACTCAAAGTAATATATATTCTGGCACAAGTGAAAAAAGTGCAGTTTACCAGTCCAATGAAAAAAGAGAGAAGGACAACAAGGGTGCACTTGAGAGTTAAGTGAGTGACAGTTTTTATTATGCTGGTTTAGGCAATTTGCATCTTCAAAATGTTTTCCCGTTTTGCATTCTCCCCCCTTCCAACAAGCATTCCGATTTATGAACTTGACCCCCTATCCATTCAGAAATACATCATTCAAGAGGTTATGCCATGTACCTTTTCAAACATGCTAGGAGTTACCAAATTAGTTCAATCTTAAGGGGTGAGCTATACAGAAGATGCAGAGAGGAAGACCAAGGAAAAGGGGGAAGGGAGAGCAGCCAACTTAGGACAGACCATTTCAGAAGAAGAAATGATGGCACCCCCAACTTCCAGTAAGGACTGAAACCTGCCTTCAAATTTATACTGCAAAGGAAAGGGGAAAAAGTTATCTCAGTCTAGCACAAATATCTAAGTAATTCTCAATCAAGTCATCTTGCATGACTTGCTTGATGTAATGCAAAAGACTAGCAGCAAAACTAAGAAAACAATCACCTTGTTTTCTGGTTCCAGCAAAAAAGCATATCCTTTCAAACAGCACTCCCGAGACTGAGGATCTACCACTTTCACGGAAACTCCTTCCAGCATCAACTTTGGTGCATGACTGGGTAACACGGCACAACTAATCTTGTTAGCATATAAAAGAGAAATGTCGTTCATGCCATTTCAGACCAGCAAAGCATAATGTGATTAATCTTAATACAGTACTTACGAATTGTGGCTTGGAATATCGGTGCAAATATTTTTTCCTGCAATTAGCTGAAATTCACAGATCTCAAGTTCGAATGGAAAAAATAAATAAACAAAAGGAAAATAACTTTCTTCATGATTGGTTATTGTAAAAGCATGATGCAACAAATCAAAGAGCTAAGGGCTAAGTTCATTTTTCTTTTGTTTTCAGAATGAGTAAAGAGTATCCATTTAACAACTCAGAAAAGGAAGTTATGAGCTCAAAATTACAAAAGGTACAAAGATGTAGGTCCTTGTCAAAGAGTAAGGAGCCACAAAATCCACGAAAATCTTATTAAGGTGCAACAGAAAGCTGAACAAATTCCTCCAAAGAATATACGGATTCTCTTCTAGATAACCCATATAATGCATAATCCATATTACCCATATGATGCAGAAAGATAATATTTTACATCCTTTCTCAAAACAAAAAGAAAAAGGCCACTTTTGTACTTCTTCTCGATGTAATCCCTTTGCAAAGGGTAGGGAGCCACAAATCCAAGAAAACATTTACATTATGTACACTTGTTAAGCTACACCAGAAAACTGAAACTTTAAACTAAAGTTTTGCAAGCTATGTAGGGAATTCTTAATTCCTTCAAAGAATCTTTGGCTTCTTAACCAACATAATGCAAAGAGATAGTATTTCAGACCACACTTGTGCTCCTTCTCGATTTCCTCCTTTCTACAAGAATAGGAAAAGTAGTCTATTATAGCAAGGCTCAATAACTAACAATTTCCCTGATGCAGAGGGGACAGATGATTATCTGATGTTATGGAACATCACAGAAATAAAAGCATAATGATATCATTGATTATATCACTGCAATTATGAAGTCCGCGCATAATGATACCCGCCTGTTTATGTTTGGATCCCTCTGGAAGATTGAAAAACTATCTCAAATCTTCAGAATAATAAAGGGAAAGATCTGACATAATGTAAGGTATGAAAAGCATAATCATGAACCAGCTAAATCATATTCCTCACATTAGTAAATCTATGTGTAAGGATTGTCAGGCGTATACATTTGGTTACAGTATCACCACTTTGAACTACAGTTGTGTATCTAGATATCAGCTACTCTAAATGCAAATAGACATGTTTGTTGGCAAATTTTACTTGCAAAAATCTTAGGTGATCTATACAAAGATTACCTCGACCCAGCTATATTGAACCAAGGGTTTTCTAGCGACAATAGCATCAATCAGGTCATCACTCAGTGAAAAGGAGTTATCTACAAGCACATGTGAGCAGTCCAAACTCCACTTCTTAGTTATACTTGCACCTGCAAGGAGATTGATAGTAATAGGAATATGACATCCTCTGAGCATACAAATACATATAATGAAAAGAATTGAGATTATAATATAATCTAGGTATTCCCTCTACAACAGCCTAACAGGTTCCTTGTGCTTTTGCAACTTTAGACTACTATGATCGTGGCATCCTAAAATGCTTGAAAGCATTCAAGATACTCTGTGTTTGTAAGCACAAATTATATAGGCATTTACTATTGTTTGATAATATATAGGTATTTATTCTTTTAAATGTAACTGCAGTCTACAGTAAATCAAGTACCAAATCCGGTCTCTAGGGTTATGTATGAGGACATATTTTGATACTCTTGCAGTTCTTGGTCCTTTTGACCACAACACCAATAGAAAATAGGTATATTGTATTTGTCACTTAACCACAATTTGTGCATCAAAGACTAATATGATTCTCATCACATCTTTATTTTATTTTTGGCTTCATCATTTTTTCCACCGGATAGGAAACAATGGTTTAAAATTAGCAGAGGAAAAAAATTAAACAAGATCAAGAATTCAACAGATCACACTGGTAATATTATAAGTAGCCTGAAACACAAAAGTGCATAAACTATCTGAACATATATTTATGTACATAGCATAAATGATCACTCACCTATTGATGAAACCTTCTTTGTAATAAGTTGAATTGTCTTTGAATGCTTCGGGGAGCAAATGAAAAATATGAATGACACATAAGAGAATCTGTTTGATGAATATCATCACATCAATATGTTGTTCAATAGGATTGATGGTCAACTAACAAGAGGTACTATATAGGAGGTAAGAGCCACAACATGTAACTTCAATCACCTGTAAGTTGCATTACCAGTTCCAAATGAAACTAGATCGCCATCCTTAAGCATCGTTTCTTTATTTGGAAACTCGTGAACTTTCTCCTTCGAATCCAGATTCTTGTTGAGGAATGTGCCATACTTTGAGCAGTCTCTTACACGTACTTTAGACAGAATATTTGAGGGTTTCTTCAACGACTGATCCAAAGAAATCATCTCATCTACTGAAATCTCCGCATGTATCCTTGAAACTCCTTTATCCTTGTTGACAATGACATCACATCCTGTGAAACAATACATTTAAGGGAAGTCCATGACAGAAGTAATGTGGATCTAAGTAAGGAAGAAGATAAAAATAAATAGTAATAAAATTTTGACACATGTCACTTAAATAATACATCTGATGCAAAAATTCTTGTTCACGCACTTCATTAGCTGGTAAAAAAATATGCATGCCAACTGAGCAAGCGCGGTGTAGAAAAATTTACCTATGAAGGAGGAGTGTGTCTTGAAGGAATTTCGTTACAAGTTAAAGGAAAAGTATGTTTTAAGCCTAATTACAACAGACCATCAGCAAACCAACTATGGCATGTTAAATGCTCTATTGTCATTACCCACGACTTGGACTGAAGGCAGATCACATCAGAAATTGTGACATCTAAGTCATCTCATCAACAAGATTAATCAAAAAGGAAGCAGTGACAGCGCGAGTAACCAAGCTAAGAGAGGAAACTCAAAAGTTACGCCTTGTAAGGAATTAGAAAACATATTAAGAAAATTTTATGAGAGATTTTATGAGAGTGCATAATTGAGAAGATTACCTTTTCGACCCACTTTATATGTACCTTTGTTGAAGAAATAGTAATTATCTTCACCTGTTGCATATACAACGAGCAGTGTATTAGCAATTGATAGTAGCAAAGTTAATAAGATGATAAATCAGCCAGAATTCCAGTCTAAAATGAAACCAACAGAAGTCATTAACAAAATGTGATCAATAAAAGCCATGAACGACTTGCTTCAGCTTTCAACATTAGTAAAACTAGCTCAGACATGAAATTTGGTGTTGTAACTGTGACTAACACAATTGATTGTTCGCACATATGTTTATTCATGGGACATAAGTCCTCAATCAATCAATTGTGCCTCAAAGCCCAACAAGTAGGATCTAAGCTACATTGATCCATATGGTCACCCTGCTTTATCCAGTCACATTCAGTTTCAATACTACTAAATGAATTTGCCTTTTATAAATGGTGGTCCCCAGACCAACTTGCCCACACCTCAAAAAGTAGAGTCTACTAGGTATCTACTAGCTCCTAATGGCACAGTTACCACATAACTCTGCCACTTAGACAGTTATATAATTCATGTAACCTCGTCTGCCACTAGTAGTATTTGAATCTGATCTCCCATGGTTTTCATTTCAATTAATTGATTGTTATGCCAAAACACCTAAGTGCAATTTGTCTTTTAAGGCAGACGTGGAGGTTCTCTAAACCTAGTGTTTCTATAAATCGTCCTATGCTAAAATACAAGTCTCTACTCATACCAAACCTATTATAGGCATAAAATAACAGAAACAAAGACAAAATCCTGGACTCACAGCACAAGTAACATAACTCAGCCCCACAATGGCTTATGCAGACAGGAAGAAATCATCTAGTTTTGCCTACGTTGGAATTCTGAACCCGAAATATCATGGGTTCTCCTCCCCTCCCATTTCATTGATCAATAGGTCACACCCTTTTGAGGGCTTAATATTACATTCATTGATCACTAGGTCACACCCTTTTGAGTGCTTAATATTCCATAAACTTAAAGAGAAAAAAAAGTGATAAATAATTGCTTTCTTGATTAATAATTAATGTCAATCCTAAAAGTGACATTTAGTACCATTGCTTTCTTGATTACTAGGTCAAGTGAATTTTTAGTATCATTGCTTTCTTGGTTACTAGGTCAAGTGAACTTTTAGTATCATTGCTTTCTTGGTTACTAGGTCAAGTGTAATTTTTAAGGAAAGAAACAACAAATAGAGAGAAGCCTGTATAGAACCTGGAAGAGGATCAATAGGAAAAAGTCCCCAAACCATTTTCTTAATTTTCTTGTTTGCCCGCCGATTTCTTCTCCGGCACCGGAGCTTTTTTTCTCAGTATAAAAAAAGAAAATCGGAGTATTTCAAAAAAGTTGAGTGCCTTTGATTGAGAAAAAATAAATAAAGAGGGGTCATGTATTTATAGTGTACGAAAAAAGAAAAAAAAAGCAATAGTCCTTCCAAGTTCCAATTTATACACATTTTTTTCCTAATTAAAAAGTCTAATTAAAATAAATTTTATATTATATAAATTATTATTTTAATTATATGAAAAAAAAAGTTTAATGCAAACATATCTTATGTATATTATTTATGTTACTTTAAAATAATTTATTTTTATTTTTATTAATGTGATATATACAAATAACATGTCTGTATAAAAAATATTTGCAAAATAAATAATAGAACGAAAGTGGTATTACTTCTTAATAATTTTTTGGACATCTTCTTATCAAATTTTAAAAATTAATGTAAGTGTTCAAATATTATGATCATTACATTTTAAACTATTAATTATTATTTCAATGTTTTTTTAATCTTGCTTTTTAATAGTCTTGATTGTGATTACTAATCATTTTGTATCAAATTAATATCTTAACATCTTACTAATCAATATATTGTAAACATATCTCACGTATATATGTTCATTAGTATTGGTGATTGTTTATTCGGTTTTTGGTGCGATGTGTGTTAGAAAGTTGAGCTAATAGTTAAAAATTTATTCAAATTATTATTTTTCATAAAATTTATATTTGAATTGTAATCTTGTTTCGTTTACCTACTTAAATTAACACCTTTTTTATATTAAAATACTAATGATGATTATTTGCTTATATATTTGATACATATTTCATTTTAATTTTTAAAAGTGTCATGTAACACTTCATGTGGTTAATTCTGTATATCTAACCTAATTAGGACATTCATAGTAATTTTGTTTGATTAAATGGAAGAGATTAAGAAGGGTTAGAAATCAAAATTAAAGTTCTAAAATCAAAACTAAATGGGTAAAAAACATTCAATCTTAACTTTTACTTGTTATTAATTGATTTTCAATATTTAGACAATTTATATCGAGATGTGTTTAAATACAAGTTGATCATTAGTTTAGTTAGGTATATAGAATAATATATAGTTGAAATATAAAATTCCTAAAAGAATTATAAAATTTTCGTCAAATTTTATTTATCTTTATTAATTTTACAAAAAGGTTTGCTCTAATATACTCTTTTTTGTTGTTTCTTTTTAAGGCTTTTTTCCAAAACCTGTTGTTATTGGATTTTTAATATTTAGACAATTGAATATTAAGATGTGTTTAATATAAGTAGATGATAATTTAGTTAGATATAGAGAATAATGTATAGTTGAAATATAAAATTCTTTAAAAAAATTATAAATTTTTTTTTGTTGAAGAGACTTTATTTATTATTTTTAAAATTTTATTTATCTTTATTATTAAATATAGAGAAAATGGTCTAAACCCCTCCAACCTATACCCCAAATCTCAACTACACACTTCAACTTCACGGGTGTCCTATCACCCTCCTGGACTATTTAAAAATGAGATAAATGACTCATTAAATGATGAGTTGGCACAGAGAGTGCATTCACTCTCTTTGAGAGAGTAAGAAGCAAAAAACAAGTAAAAAGAATATGTTTATTATATTTTTGTTACAATTAAATAGTATTATGTATTATTTATTTATTTTTATAAGCAAAAATGACACCGTTTTAATTGAGGATATTACTTTCCCTTTCACTTTGGAGAAGAAGAATCAGCAGTTCCAACCCCATCTTTGATGTATGATAAATTTTATATTTGTTAAAGAAACTCATCGAATGAGCCGGCAATGAAGAGGAAATAATCACTGGAAAAGATGAATTCGCCGGCAAATTCAAAAATTCATACTTGAGCTTCGAAGCTCTTTAACAATGGTTGTCCATAGATTTGTATTTCGCCTTTCATTCGTCAAATTTTTTAGTTCAAATCAATTGATTTAGAATGGAATTCTCATAAAGGATTCAATTTAGTCTCTACAAATTAGTAATTGCAAATGAAGATTTTCAGATTTAGATTCAAACCCAGAAACCCACATTTCTTTTTTGATTTTGACAGCTTTGTACGTCAATGGAGTTTTCTAGTTTTTGGCTCAAATTTTCACACCAAATTCGAAATCAATTAACAAGTAATGTGTAGATTCCATACACCAAACTTAATCACACTCACAGATTCACACAAATTCGATGAACACGACGGAAAATAAGTTTTTTCTTCAATTTTTCAGAAATTAATAAAGCCAAGAAAACAACTGAATGATTTTGAGGCAAGTATTATAGCAATCTAAAATTTGATGGATCAATTTGTGTATATATATCGTTTACAAGTTACAAGTTTTAAAAGAAAAAGAAAAAATAAAATAGAATAAAGATGAAAGAAGAAACAAAGAATATAAAAAAAAATCATTGACAACTGGCTGTGCGTGTCCACCACTGCAAGTTATGAATGTGGGTGTTTAGTTTTAGGGTGTTATTTATTCCACTAAAAAATAGTTCAAGGGGGTAATAGGTCCCCTGTGAAGTATAAGTGTGTAGTTGGGATATCGGGTATAGATTGGAGGGATTTTAGACAATTTTCTCTTAAATATACAAAAAGATTTGCTCTAATATAAATTGGACAAATAAATTTGACTTTAAAAATAAGAAGGGAAAAGGGTCTGATATACCTCTCAACTTTGTCATTTAGAGTTGATATACCCTCGTAATGAAAGTGACTCATATACACTCCTACTTATATACAAATGACTCACATATACCTTTTTTTCTCTAACGGAAATGAAAAATAATAATTTCAGGTTAATTTTTTATTATTTTAAAAAATATATATATATATATAATCCCATATGAGTATATTTAATCCTCCTCAAACATATATATATATATTTAACTTTTTTTTTTGTTTCAATGACTAATTTAGATTTATTATTTTGATAGTCAAATTTATTTATGTTTCACTAATATTCTTGTAAAATTTATTATAGTTGCCCAAATTTTTTTCTTCAAATACAAAAATTAAATTACAATATAGACAAAAAAAAAGTAATTTTAAATTCTAATATAGCCACAAAAAAATAGTTTTAAATTTTTTTCTTTACACTAAGGAATGAAAGAAAAAAATAAAATAAGAATAAGAAACTCAAATAATTATAAGGGATAAGGGTATGAAAAATACCAACTTTAGTTGAATTTGCTGTTGCGATACTAAACTTTCATGAGGACCTATTACCTCCCTAGACTATTTAATACCGTATTTTAAACATATATATTTACCCACGTGGACATAAAAAATAATGCAAAATTATAAATAATAATGTGTACATGTGCGCACATATATACCTTTAAAATACACTAGTATTAAATAGTTTAGGGGGTAAAAAATACGGTATTAAATAATTTAGGGAGGTAATAAGTCCTCATGAAAGTTTAGTATCACAACAACAAATACAACCAAAATTGGGATATTTTTCAGATCCTTATCCCTAATTATAATAAAAGAAGTCAAAAAATAATTTATGTATAAAAAAGATTAAAATATACCTTGAACTTTGCTAGAAGAATCATCTATACCCCTAAATAATTTTTAAGAAAATTAAAAGTCAAAAATATAAATTTAAAACTAAATTTTTCACTTCCATTAAATGAAAGGTATATGTGAGCTTCTTTTGTAACGGTAGGGGTATATGTGAGCCGTTTGAATAACTGTAAGGATATATATGAATCACTTTCATAATGAGGGGCATATCAGTTCCAAACGACAAAAATGAAGAATATATGAGGCCCTTTTCCAAAAAAAAAATTGCAATTTGATTTCACTTGAACCATGCTGACCCATCTCCTCCAAAAACTAAGCCATAAACCACCCACCGCCGTCCTCCTCCGCCGAAAAACCACCTCAGCTGAATACGTAGCCTCAAGAAACCGAGATCCCACTTTCGAAAAACTCATGGACAAGTACAAAAACCTCTTCAAAGTAATCGCAATTCAAGACCTCATCCTCGGTACAACCACCAACGCCGCCGCACCTCCCGCCGTCTCCCTCGATTTCCTCAACCGCCTATCCCAGCGCCTCCATCTCAACCGCGGCGCCACCCATTTCCTCCGTAAGTACCCCCACATATTCAACATTTTCCACCACCCTATCAAATTACAACCTTATTGTACACTGACGGAAACCGCCCTCAAAATCACCCAACAAGAGGCTACAGCTATCAATTCTACTTTACCACTTGTAGTAACCCGTTTGGTGCGTTTGTTGTCGATGTCAGTGACTAAATCATTGCCCCTTAGAGCCATTTTCAAGGTTTATAGGGAACTTGGGTTGCCTGATGATTTTGAGGAAAGTGTAATCTTGAAAAAATCTGATCTTTTTGCACTTGTTGATAGTGGGAATGAACCAAACACTCATTTGTTGAAACTTGTTGGGGATATACCGAAGGGGGAGGTAGTGGCTGCTGTTGATAATTGGAGGGTAGTGGAATGTTGTAAAGAGGATTGTGGGGTTGATAGGAATGAGATTTTGTATAGTTTTAAGCATAGTTATCCACCAGGGATGAAGTTGAAGAGGAGTTTTAAGGCAAAGGTTAAAGAATGGCAACAGTTGAAGTATGTGGGGCCGTATGAGGCTGTGGAGATTGGAAAGAAGAGGAAAAATAAGATTGGGATGATGGAGATGGAGAAGAGGGCAGTTGGTATTGTCCACGAGTTTTTGAGTTTGACAGTTGAGAAAATGGTTGAGGTAGAGAAGATTAGTCATTTTAGAAAGTGGTTTGGGATTGATTTGAATGTAAGGGACTTGTTTTTGGATCATCCAGGGATATTTTATCTTTCGACGAAAGGGTATAGGCATACAGTTTTTTTGAGGGAGGCTTATGAAAGAGGATGCTTGATTGAACCAAATCCAGTGTATGAGGCTAGGAGGAAGCTTCTTGATCTTGTTATTTTGGGACGGCGAGGGTTGTCTAGAGGTCATTCCAAGCCAACAGGTGTGAGCCAGGGGGAAGATGGTTTCACTGAGGAGGTGAAGACTGATTCAGATGAAGATTAGTTTACCTATAGCTTGCATCTGTACCATAAATGCAGGATGCTTTGCAATTGCTAAAGGCCTGATGGAAAGGATCACGGAAGTCAAGAGGCTTGAACAAATTCTTAGCAAATCGAAATTGGAGGTAAGGATTGAGAGCACAAGTTATATATTGTTCATTTTATCAGGTAGTTTTAAAAGCCTTTCATTCAAAAGCACAACCATTGCTTTCACTTTACTTTTAGTTGGACCACGACATTCTAGTCCGTGACATTTCAGTATGTTGTTGCCCAATCAATCAACTATGCCTCAATTACAAACTACTAGTTAAGATTGGCTATATTAGTCGTCTATATCCATTCAACTCTCCTCAGGGCTCAGACTCATTTCATTACAATCTTTCAGGAAGAGCACATGTTTTTATACTATCAAAAAATTGAACTCGCTCTTTTCCTGACTTCTCAACTTATCTTATAGAGACAGAAACAAGTTAAATATATCTCATGGCTCTACACAGTAATATCATCTGTTTATTATCAAGAAAGCTAATCTTACCACTTGAGGTCTTTCTAACTTAGTGAAAACCAATGCAACACAAAGACTCGTTGCACATGAAACACATCCTGCATGTATCTGAAACTGAGGTCAAAGACTTAGGGGTCGTTTGGTAGAGTGTATAAAAATAATATCCAATAGAGTGTATTAATAATGCTTGCATTAGTAATGCATGTATTAGTTATGCATAGATTATTTCTTATGCATTGTTTGGTTTGGTGTATTAAAAATAATATGCATCGTATAAAAATATTTATTTACAAAAGTATCCTTCACAATTATGGTGGAAAAGATGTAAAAGTACTTTCGAGGGGTAATTGGGTCTTTATCCATATTAATGCATGTATTAAATCCTTTGCATTACTAGTACCTAGAAATCCATGGTATTAGTAACACACTCCTCAATACACAATAGAGTGTATAACTAATGCAAGTATTAGTTATACATGGCATGAAAAAATGCACCAACAAGGGACTACAAATACATATAATTAATGCATGCATTATTTTTGCTAACACACTCTACCAAACAATCCCTTAATGTTTAGCGACCTTTCAACTAATACAGTGGGATGGTAGGTTGGCTGATCTGTGAGAGTTTGCATATATAGCCAGTTCACGTTGGAAGACAAATCAAGTATTATCTGATGTTATATCCATGTGCCACCTTTCATTGACAGAACAGTCCTAGCAGTCATGTCTTGATTTTTCCATGTTGAAAAAAAGCCATAAGCTGTATATCTGGTTTATTGATTTTGTCTTATTGTTAACCTTCAGGGAGATGGGTCATGTGTAACATTCAAATTGTGTCAGCGGGAATGAATTATCTGCCAATTAGCATAGATATCTGCCTCTGAGGAAAAGGCCGAGTCTCCTTTTACAACAGTGCTGTATGACGGATGACCTGTGCAAGTGAATGTTTGGTTGATAACTTAAGAGAGTTGTTTTTTCATTAGTATTTGTGATCTTTGGCCGAAGCACTGGCTGTAATGTTTGCAGTGTCCTGTTTTCTGAACTTTGCGCAACTCTTTTCAGTTGTTGCAAATCTACTTTGCCAATGTAGATACCAGCTCCACTTGTAAATGCTGGAAGAAGTTGTTGTGAAGGTGGGAAAGCCAGCGAAGGGGATCTGAGCATTCAGATGGATGCTTGAATTCAGTTTCTAAAATGTAGACAGGACAAGTGTCATTGTGCATCTCACTTTGCTCACAAAATAATCACTGTTATGTAGGTGTTAATCTCTGCAAGTTGTGTTGTACTTGACTCACAAATCCCACAAATTCCAGTAGAGACAAAAAACCTTAGTTGTTTTTGCCCATCTGCCCAAGTGTTGTTTGATAGAATTACCCAGTCTCCTTGCTGGCAGGAGATAGCAGGTACCAAGTGAAATAGTCGAGATGCAATCTGGATACCACGTTTATTGAAAAAAGAAACTCTTTGTGGATCCTTCATTCATCCTTGTGTATGAGTTGAGTCAGACGAGTGAGTTGAAAGCTGATATTAGTTGAAGAAGAATGTAAACTATATTTTTGGAATTTAGTTTGCAATAATGCACCATTTGATATAAATGATATTCCACTCTTCCTCCATTCCTTTTTCATACCATGCTTTAAATTCCTGAAATCAAACCACCACAGAATGCATGCTGTCTCTTAGAATGTCAAATATAGTTTAAAGTTTTTTCGTCCATAGATCAGTCAGTTCTATTATTCTACCCATCCACCTCAATGCCAAAAAGAAAAAAAAAAGGTAGAGAACCATGGGCACTGTATGAGTTGATTTTTTCTTAGCAGAGTTATATGCAACATGTTTTTAATTGAGCACTTATTAATGCAAGATCTTCACCTTATGGTGAGGTGACAGTTCACTGAGCCCCCCTTCAGGGTCAATGATGCTTCTTTTGCATCAGAAAAGTTTCACCAAAACCCAAAGGAATATATAGATAACGACAAGCATAGAGACATAAGAGTCACTAGCAAGTGTGTCAGCTTGCTTTCTTTTACTACACAAACATTTTTAGTGCTGTTACATGATATTAGTGAAGATCATTACAAAATGCCCAATGGCCTTCAAAATTTCCAATAGTAGTTTAAACATAAGCCAAGAACCAACCCTTCATCTCATCCTATGTCAAAAACCAGTCCCCCCGAATATAAAATGGATTTCACCAAATCCTCTAATTCCAACTGAACTCATTGTTTTCAACTCGAACTATATATGCATTTACAAGAAAATCACATGTTACTAGTTTTGAATCGTTGAATTTTTCGTAGACATGCTTGAGCCCTCTCCATAACAACATCAATCCTACTCCTCTTTCTACATCCAACAGTATCCTGTCCCACCCTTTGCAGCTTCTTCTTAGGTTCTTCTTTACTACCAAAGCTTCCATTTTTCCTCTTCCTGTTACTTGATGACTCTATACAAATCCTCAAAAACAACAAACTCAACATCAGCACATAAAACTAACAAGACAAATAGAGACAAAAGAAATTACCTTGAGTATCAACATAGGAGGAAGAAGGAAGAGTGTCAGAGTAGTGAGATTCAAGAAAAGATATGAAGGATCTTAGTTCCAACTTGAGATATTCAAATTTGTTAGGATGCTGAGTTTCCAAAATTTCAAGTTCTTTTTTTGCTTCTTCCATTTTTTTGTTTTTTTGTGTTTCCAGGAAATGGAAAGACAGAAGAAGAGGAAATACCGGAAAGTTCGAATGCATTAATAAATGGGGTCTGGACTGAACTACTATTAAAAGCTTTGATTTTAAAATTCCAACTTCTCGTACAGTGTCAACTAGCCATAAAGCAAGACATGAAAAGTTTCTTTGTCCGTTTCTCGATATTATAAACGCTTCTTCGTCTACCCACTACTATTAAGCTTATATTTTGAATCACATTTTAGGGTGTGTTTGGTATGAAGGAAAACATTTTCTGGAAAAGGTTTTTCAATTTTCTCATGTTTGGTTGGGTTAAATGTTTTGGAAAATGTTTTTCAAATCAACTCATTTTCCTCAAATTTAAGGAAAATGACTTCCCTTCAAAACTTAAGGAAAACATTTTCTAAACCTCTCTTCTAACTTCAAACTACAATTACTTTTTTGTTGAAAAAATCAATTTATTTTGTCCCTACCCTCAAACCAGCCTCCCAACCAACGCCCCCCCCCCCCCCCCCCCCCAAAATAAACAATAATTTAAAACTTGTTTTTAGATTCAATGTTTTTACCCACCCTTATCCCTACCCCTACCCCCACCCTCTCCCAAAAATATATTAAATATTATTTTTAAAAGATATTTCTAATTTCAATTTTTTATTTTTTACCCCCACCCACTACCCTCGCCCCCCCTATCAATTTTTTTTTATTGTTTTTAAGAAATATTTTCAATTTCAATTTTTTATTTTTTCACTCCTACACTCGATCCCCCCTCCAACCCACCCACCCCCTACTCGCCACCCCTACCCCAAAAAAAATAATTTAAGTTTGTTTTTAAAAAATATTTTCAATTTCAAATTTTCATTTTTCACCCTACCTTGAACCCCCCCCACCACCCACCTCCTACCCAGCCCCCCTACCAGCCCCCCACCCCAAAAAAAAATTTAAGTTTGTTTTTAAAAATATTTTTCAATTTCAAAATTTCATTTTTTCACCCTTACCCTCGACCCCCCCCACCCACCCCCTACCAGCCCCCGCACCCCACCCACCCACCCCCTACCAGCCCCCGCACCCCACCCACCCCCTACCAACCCCCATCCCCCCAAAAAAAATTAATTTTATTTTTAAAAACTATTTTCAACTTCAAAATTTCAATTTTTCACCCCTACCCTCAACCCACCCCCACCCCACCCCAAAAAAATTTAAGTTTGTTTTTGAAAAATATTTTCAATTTCAAAATTATTTTCTACCCTAGTAAAAATAAAAGATATTTCTCAAAAAAAAAAAAATCATTCATAAATCAAACACAAAATCTTTTCCGGAAAATATTTTCTACTCACCAACCAAACATGAGAAAAGAAGTCAAAAATCAACTTGTTTTCCAGGAAAACATTTTCTAGGAAAACATTTTCCTTCATACCAAACACACCCTTAGTCTTTTGTTTGATCTGTTTGATGAAACTTTAAGCATCTATTTCATAAATAATTGAAGTATAAAAGAACCAGTTTTTGAATTCTTGCAAAACTTCAAATATTAAAAGTAAAATGTATGTCTAGTTTTAAAAGGTCAAGTTTTTTCTGTTTTAATTTCAAAATGTATGGTCAAATGAGAGCTAAATAGATTGTGTTTGTAATAATAAAGTATTCATGGTTTAGATAATAATGAAATAAGAATTTTTATTAAGAGAGTTTAAAATAGGAAAAATTAAACACATGAACAAGATAATGAAGCCAACATTTATTATATAAAATATCTAAAAAGTAATTTTAATCTTAAATATACAATGTAATTTTTTGTCAAAAAGAATTCAGATGAACTCTTTACTCCCACCTAGCTTCACCTGAGGTTTAGATACTTTATCCATTTCAATTTTATTTGTTCAATATATGTTTTTTCAAAAACCAAGTTTCTTAAAAATAAGAAAAATAATTTTAAT